CTGGGCCATTCCCCCTGGAGATCTATGGGGGGGGGCTGGAAGTAGCAATGGGACAGAATGGAGGACAAAGGGAGGCAGGAAGGTGGGTCACCGCAAGGGGATCTCAGAGACAACTCCCACCATCCCAGGAAGGGGGAACCGGCTTGGAGTTGTGGGGATGGGGTTGCCCAGCTAGGAAGCAGAGGAGCCCAAAGGGGGATGCTTTGTGTGGAAGGGGGAAGAGGGAGTGGGCCGGCAGGGGGCCGGGCAGCGACTGGGCTGAGAGTGACGCAGCAGACAAAGCCACCAACCCTGGCTTGGTATTTTTAAACTGTGCGTGGGTGGGAAGTGGGGGCGGGGACTGGAAGGGGGGCTTTTCTCGAGGGAGGAGCTGGGAGCCTAGCTTCCTGTGTTCCCCCTGATTTGGCTACCAAAAAGCTTGGGGGGCCATGGTAGGATGGGTGGGGCCTGGGAGGGGGCCAGGGATGAGTGGGGGTGGCAGAGCCTGGGAGGGGGAGGGGAGAGGTCAGAGCCAAACCGCCCCCGCAGCTCCTGACAGAACCAGAAATTCCAGCAGAACGGAGGAGGCGGGAGAGACAGAGAAAGAGAGAGACACAGAGACAGCTACTTACAGTCAGGAAGGGGAGGGGGCTGCACACACTTGGAAATGGAACCCCTCCCCCACACACACATGCAGTGGACAGGAGGCTATAATTCAACCAATTGAGCCCATCTCCGCAGCTTTCTCTGCCTCTGCTTCTGTTCCCAACCACCTCTCTGCAGCCTCCGCCCCCACAGTCTCCTCACCTCTCCCTTTTCCCCCGCAGAATTCGAGGAAGGGCTGCTGGACCGATGCCCTGCCCCGGGACCCCATCCCGCTCTGGTGGAGGGTCGCAGGAGCAGCGTGAAGGTGGAGGCTGAGGCTAGCCGGCAGTGAGGGGTGGACTGGCGTCCTCAGACCCGGGACCCCAGACTTCTGGCTCACACAGGCCCCCACATTCTCCATTCCCGGAATCTAGTCACAACCCTGGATCCTTTCGCTACCCTTCTCCTGCCTCCCCATCTGCCCCATGGGCATAAGACTATGGGGCTTCAAGCAATAACGAAGCAGGGGCCTGGCGAGAGGACACAAGGAGGGTGCGTGGTGCCCCCTCACCCCTGCCCAGGCTGAGGGGGCAAGGACTCTGCCTCCAGGGCACCAGGGGTTCTCCCCCCCACACACACAACACACTCCCATTCTCTCTAGGTTTGCACCAGAGGTGTGAACAGTTGGACTCAGTTTGGACATGGGGGAAGGGGGACTCCCCTGGGAAGGTCCAGCAACTAAAAATGGCCACATTTCCCCCAGAACTGGGGGCCTGGGAACACTGGACCTGCTCCTCCTCCCCTCTCCTTCCCCATTTTTGTGCTTTGAGTTTGTTTCTTTAATTTAAGGAGTGCTGCAGTTTGCCCTCCCATCCCCATCTCTCCCCCAAGTCCTCAGCAATTCTTCCCCTCCTGTCCTGGGGGGAGGGGGCGGATGTGGGATCCCTTCACCGGCTCCCTAGGGAGGCCTGGGTTGGACTCAGGGTCCCCTCTGGTCGGAGGCTGGACCGCAGCACCTATCTGAGCAGTTAGAGCGTCTTTCTTTTCAAATTGTGTACAGTAGATTATTTATTTTGTTATTTTGGAATAAAATTTATTTTATGGCTTAGGATCTATGACCCTCACCCTCCAAGAGGGAGAAAGGGTGGCATGGGATGGGGGGCACGTGAAGAGGAGCCAGCGGTGAATGGGGAGACAAGAGAGAGGCATGGATAGATTGGAGGACCACATAGCCAGGCTTGGACCCAGCCCCTCATGCCCTGACTCCCAGGCAGCATTGGCAACTTGGAACTCTATGCAGATGTCACAGCCACATAGACCCACCTGGGCACAGACACAAAGCTCAGTCCGTTCAGCATCTGTCAGGCCAGCTCACTGGTGTCTTGTGCAGTGTCTCACACTCCCAACTTTGTGTTGTCCCACAGGCAAAAGCAGACATTCTGTGTATCTATGTGTGCTATCTATACATCAGCATGTTTTAGGGATATATTGACACAGCTATACCCGAAGACACTTGGCCCTTGTACTTCTGCATGATCTCATATACATACCAGAAGTCTCCATCTGGCTGATGGGAATTTGAGGACTTGTTTTTTAATCTGGGTAAAGCGGGTATCACTAAATATATCCAGACCCCTCCTCCCACCCAGGGTCCCCTGAAGTGCTTCCCCACTCCCCAGGGCAGGGACCCGGTATCCTCCATCCCAGCCTCTTGTGTAAATGTGTTTGCATGTTTCTACATAAAGGGGCCTGGGCCCTGGCTCCGAGTAGGTGGAGAAGCCCTCTGTGCCCTTACCTGTGCTGTCACCCAGCCCCCACTTACTCAGCCCCATCATCCATGGAAAGCTGTGTGTGTGTGTGTGTGTGTGTGTGTGTGTGTTCGTTCTGCAAGTGCAGGCATGTTGGAGCATGTTTCACTTTGGAGCCTGAACTTTCCTTCCAATCAGTGCTGGAAGGAGGTGGGCAGGGGTGTGCAGCAGAAGAGGAGTGGATTGGTGCCACCTGCCATGCAGTCTTCTGGCAGTCTTTTCCTTCTGACCCAGGAGTAGGTGGGGACAAGAGGGCACCCTCCTCATCTGCTTGCAGGAGCACGAGCAGGTATCCAGAGCAGGTCTGAGGGAAGTAGAAGAGCTGTCTCTCCGGGGTGCCCCTCCAGCTGGGATCACCAACTGTGGTTGGCCCGTAGGTCCATGTGGGACATTGAGATCCCAGATTGCCCATAGGAGGAGGGCTGCAAAAGGGACTGGGCCCCCAAGGGCCCTCCCCCTGGCTCCCCTTGCCCCTCCTGGAGAAGTGTAGTGAGGTCCTGCTCAGTGGGAGGCAGCAGAGGAGGGAACATGTCTTCACCAATCCTGCAGGAAGATGGGAGAAACAGCAGAGTAAGCATGAGGCCCACTCCCTCAGCCCCACCCAGCCTCCACCCCAGGCCCCCACGCACCAGGTGCCCTGAGGAAACCCTCTCACTGGCTGGCTCAGGCAGCTGTCTTCCACCATGGGTACATCTTGGCAGAGTAGGGGCTCAGGGCTGGACACAGCATGTTCCTGAGGTTGGCACTGCAGCAGGCTCCTGCCAGGAACCAGAAAAGGAAATGAGGAGGGGTCACGCTAGGCCAGGAGAGGACAGGGTCAGAGGGGCTTTGTCACTCACTGGGGGTGAGGCTGGTTGAAGGGCAGGCTCATCGGGTTCAGGCTGGAGGGCATCGATATGTGAGGCCTGGGGATTGGGTGGAGAGCACAGTTAGCAGAAGGCTGGGCAAAGGCAGGGTGGGACAAAGTCAAGGCCACTGAGTGAGGAAACAAGCTCTGTCTGGCTCCGATTATCCTGACTCCTGACTGCAGGGTCTTAGGATACCGTTTCTACACTCTGAGCTCAGTCTTCTCAGATGACTTCTGTAAAATGTGTGTGTTGGGGGGGATGGTTGGAGTAGTCAATTTCTACTGTTTCTTTGGACTCTGAACTTCCGTGGTTCTAAGTCCCTCGTCCCCACCCCCACCTCACCTCCTGGAGGAGAGATGTCTTGCCTTGACTAAGAGTTAATTAGCACCTGAGTGTTACTTGGGGAAGAAAAATGTCTAGGCCACATCAAGATCAAGACAGACAAGTATAAAAATCAATTCAGTAGGTAAGTGACAGTGGGCCCCAGGGGCAGGAGAGTAAATACTAATACAGCCCTGAACCACATAACATTTCTGTTAATGATGTTAGACACTGGTCCCATAAGATTATAACAGAGCTGGAAATTCCTACGTTCAAGCAACTACCATTGTGTTACAATTTCCTTCCACTATTCAGAACAGTAATATGATGCATGGGTTAGTAGCGTAGGAGCAACAAGCTATACCATACAACCTGGGTGTGTAGTAAGCTGTACCATCTAGGTTTGTGTAAGCACACTCTATGATGGTCATACAAGGATGAAATCGCCTAAGAATGCATTTCCCGGCCAGGCACGGTGGCTCAGCCTGTAATCCCGCGCCTTTGGGAGGCTGAGGTGAGTGGATT